ACTCAGACTGTATGTGTTTAAAGATTTGTCTGGTGCAATCATTTTTATTTTGAAACAAAATAAAATAAAAGTGAATAATCTAACCAACTATTGATCTTTCAGAATAAATTTAATTCTGGATCTGTTTCAAAGAACCTTCACTAGAAGGTTTAGGTTTCAAGTTCACTCACAGTGGATTTCAACACAAAAACATCTGTCACTACAGGGTTCTATATTCCTAGTATTTTAGTTGTACCATAGGCTTTTAGTCCATTTTTAGGGATAGTGTAGTTAGAACCAGAATTTAACAGAACCAGTACAAATTTCAAATGGGCGAGCAGTTTGAAATCTTTGGCATGGCTGATATTTGACTTAAACATCTGAACCAACTGACTGCTTCGAAGACCAGTGGTTATCTGAGGTGAAGTTCTATTTTTCCTTTTTATCTTCCCCATGGTTCACTTTGGATTATTGCCAAGTTTCAGCATCAAGAGTCCCACTTCAAAGGCACACTTAGTATCACACGGTAACAGTAAACACTGTTTGGGGTGAACAATGAATAAATAACTCAGTCATGAAGTTTTTAGACAAGACAAATTTTAAACAAGTTGGTTTGTTTCTGGCCACAATCCTCCTTGGCCTTTTGTGTGGTTTGGCTCTTTTTAGTCACAAATTTGACAAATCTTTACTAAATATCAGGTTATTCCTAAATACCTGAAATTTTTACTTAAAGATACATCATTTTGTTTTTTCTGTTAATCTATTTGATGCCCATCTTCTTCATTATAAATTTACAATTCTCTGTATTATTTTAATTAGAAAAGAAAACAAACATTTGGATTCAAGGGTTTGTTTCTAAGTCAAATGTCCACTAGATGGAACTATTGTCTCAAATGAATCAGACTTGAACAGCCCTAGTTTCCACTTTTCCTGTTGTTAGGGCATAAAACCTAAGGGGTGATTTCCCTCCTTTTCTCTAGTGTCTTTTTTATATAAGCAACATTAGCCCTTAGAATGCATGTCTTCTGACAGCTAGTATTCCAAACTGTGCCTCTATTAAAACTTCAGTTAAGGTGACCCAATGCTGAGCCCTCCCAGGTCCTTTTCTGTTTCTTAGGCTTAATGATAACAAATGAAAATACTTTGATTAAAAACCATGCCTTAAAACTAGAATTTTGGAGACTTTCTTAATGATTTCATAATAAAAATTCACACGTATGTAAATAAAAACTTTGAGTACAAAGTACCTACCAAAAAGATGAAGAGGCCCACAAGACTGGAACATAACCACCAAGAGCACATTCTGTCCCACCTGTCTGTCAAATTCTCAAAACATATCATTGTGATTCGTTCACACACTCTTACCTAGTGTATACCAGTTGTTACTTAGATAGCATATCTCATTTTACCTCCTGTTTAATGACAAATTTCCCCTACGTGTCACCTCTTGAGTACACACATTCAGCAGATGATGAGCAGTCAACTGGCCCCCAGGAAGGAAACCTCTTAGAGGTAATATGAAAATATTAAGCACTATATGTCTCAAAAGCCAAGTCTGAGTTACTGTGATATCGTTGAAAATGCTGTGGTTCTTTTCTCCCCTTTTTTACTATGAAAGTTAAAGGGGAAAGTTTTTAATTAAATTGAAACAGTTATAATATTTAATATTTTCAAAGCTCTCACAATTGAAGGAAATATTAATTTTAAAAATTGAAATATACAATGTTCTTTGTGTTCAAAATAGTTTACCCAATAATCTAAGACTCTCAAAAACAAACAATAACTTTATATTTTCCCTTTAAATCAATATGGAATTACAAACATTAAATTTTCACTTATTGTTTTATGCATAACAAAAAGTAGTTCATGCTCAGTAAATTTTTCTATCCTCTGTATTTTGAAAAGCCTAGAAATTCCTTGTCTGGTCTTAGAGTTACACAACTACATTGGTCTCCTAAGAACTCAGAGGCCAGTTTGTTTTATGTCTGAGAACACTGTGGACCGAGGCGTAGATAGGAGCTTGTCCACAGCCCATAGCACCAATGGCATAAAGGAAAGTAGGCCCCTGTGCTGCACAGGATGACTGTGGTATTCTCACCCATCCAATTCCATCATTTACTAATCAGTTTCTATCCAATGCTAATTTATGGCTTTAGAAACATTCGACACTTTGATGTCTTTACTTTTGGTATGCCATAATATCTTTCTAATTCTCAAAAGTCCTGACTTTCAAATATCGGGAAAAATCTTCACTGACTTTCTATTGTATTTTAAAACAAGTCAAAACCCCTAGGTCTGAGGCATGTGGCTTTTTTCCATACTGCTCCAGCTTACATTCTGAGATTTAATGTCTGTCATTCAACATATATAATACTGCACTGAAATCATATCTGTTTACCATTCCCAAAACACTTTTTTGGTATTTTCTTTTTGCTGTTATTCTCCTATGACTAACATAATAACCTCCAACTTCTCACATGTTTAAGACAAAATTCAGATGTCTTTTTCTTCCCTAATCTTCCTTTCTTTTTCTTGTTCTATTTTATCTATCATCGCTCTTTCCCTATCTTCTATCTATCTATCTATCTGAGATAAGGTCTTGAATCATAAGCCTGACTTGCTTGGTATTCACTATGTAGCCAAGAGTAGCCTCAAATTTGTACCCTTCCAAAAGTTGACTGTACAGTTTCATATCACCTTATCTGGCTAGACACCACCTTCTTGATGGAATTCAAATCATTCTAATCAGAAACAACATTTCTAGAATTTATCTTTTGATGGCTTTGACTTATCTTTCAGGTTATTTATTGATTTCTACTTGGGCTGGTTTGTTCTTTTTCAGCCTGACACAAACTAAAGTCACGTTGAAAGAGGGGAACTCAGTTGAAGAATGACTTCTATCAGATTGGGCTGTTTTTAAATTAAAAATTGTGGGAAGGCCCAACTCACTGTGGGTCTCTATATAAGCAGGCTGAGTAATCCTTGGAGAGCAAATCAGTAAACAGCACTTTTTCATGACTTCCGTTTCACTTCCTGCCCCAGGTTCCTACTTGACTTCACTTGATGATGGACTGTGAAATGGGAAGCACAAGCCAAGTAACCCCATTTCTCTCCAAGTTGTTTTTGGTGATGTTGTCTATCACAGCAATAGAAAGTAAATGAGTACAGTGCCATGTAATATTTACATATATTAGGTTTTTTCATAATCAAATTTTTCTCACTAAATGCAACATAAACTTGATAAATACAAGTCTAATTATGCCTTTGACTGAACATATTAATTACTCTAATGACTTGAAGGACCAAGTCCAACTGCCTTCAGATGGGTATTAAGAGTGAGCATAAGATGACTATTACCCCTCACCCTCATCCATTTCCAGTTCAATATTCATGTGCATTTAGCTTGAGTTTGCTCAACTTACAGTGGTCTTTGTCACCTCTGGATCTTTACATGTATTGTCTCTACCACCTTTAATCTCAGTTTTTAATGCCAAGCATGAGGAAGTTCTCATTCACCACACTTCTGAGCCTACTCATCTTCTTCCACAGCAAACTAGCATTGCCCAGGATCCATCTTATGTCCTTCCAGAAGCATCCACACTTGATGGACTGTATTTAATTGGTTTTACCAATTTCCTTCCCTGAATTCTCATACATTACTTTGTAGATACTATGTCTATTTCATATCCAGCTATTATCACACTGTTTTGCACACCCCAAAAAAGTTACATGTTAAAAAAGACTGTAGAGGGCCAACCATGTATATACTATGCGGTGAATATTTTATAGTAATCAAATTTATTAAATTTTGGAGAAAAGGGTGTTATGCAATTATCTAGATGGTTTCATTTTCTGTAAGAATATTTTTGTAAAACAACAATGATGTCATCTAAGCAAGCTAATAATTAGTCACACATATAGAGCAATTTTATCACATATTTCTTTTGTATGTACACAACAACTATTCTGGTTGTTACATCTTGACATTCAGGTCATCCTTAGATACCAACAGTGGTTTCTAGGAGTGACAGAATAAATGTATTGGCCCAGGGAAAGTCTGTGCATTAGCACAGAGAACATTATTTTTCATAGATTATACTGAACTATTGGAGAAGTCAGTTTACTCCCTGCTTGACCATGCTCATTATTCAGAAGTTGAAGTGGTCTCTGTGGTTCAGCTTAGAGATACACATCAAATGGAACACTTTTCAACTATCCAAAATAGTTAACCACATGATAAAAATCAATAAGCAGTAGTGTAGCTTACTTAATGAAAGTGCAGTCCTAAACCAGCAAGAACTAGACAGAGGGTCAGCCTCTTTAACTTCCCTATTTTACATATAAGGGCAAGGGAGGCCCAACAGGTAGGATAGCATTTTAACTAATGTATTTCCCACCACAGTAATGGATTCCCCATTTAGCATGTGGATAATCATTTGTTATTCACACTCCCTGGTCCATTACACCCTGTTGCCATTACTGACCACTCCCGACGGATTGAGACATCCTTAGCTGGTCCCTCATGTTCCCATTCCTAGGATACCATGAATGGTTTTTCAATACATATTTTGGTGGGATTATAAAGAAACAAAATTAAAGAAGTGTTATCAATGAGCAGATTTCTTTGGGGGAAACTTGAACCTTCTTTGTTTGAAGGACTTCAATGCTCTTTTAAAGGTCCCAGATATTTAAGGAGAAAATTCTGAAAACCCTTCTAGAGTGACGGAAGGTAATGTCTGGTCACAGACATTCTGGATTCTGCCACTCAACCAATCTAGTGCTACCCTTGGGCACATAATTGACTGTTGTGGCAAAATGTACTTTGACAGATGCAAGGTTATATGACTTTTCTGAACCTCAATTTTTTCATCTGCAATATATATATAAACCCAATGCCTGCAGTGGTTGCTTCATTGGTTTCTTGTTTAGTCCCAAAGGGAATTATGGCTATGAAAGGCTTTTAGAAACTGTAAAAAGCAACACAAACATGAATTAAACATCTGGTTTACTTTTACTTTTAGGAGATAACACGTTAATGCTGCATAAACTTCCATGAGTGCAGATGGATATCCAACGGCAGGCAAGTCTCTCCTGTGAGTACCTAGCCATTTTTCTGAGTTCTCTTGGGAAAGCAGAGGTGATCATGTTCTTGTTTGTGCTCTCATCGGCCTATTTATGTGCAAGTTATTATGTAACTTTTCATAGAACTCTCCAAGTACTCCTTCGACCTTTTCCAACCTGAAGTTCCTCTTAGCACCTTTAAAGCCAACAATACCCATGACTAGCACCTACAGCTGGCCTTTGTGCATGGCTAACTGCATTTACTGTTAAGAGCCTCTCAGTCAAGGAGAAGGCTTCTGTCTGCAAAAGACATTATTCATTACGCACAATACCACTCTACTACTCCCCGGCCCCTACTGAGCCCTATAGGAACAGTAGGCCAAGAAAGCCCAAAGTGGTGGACCTCTTCTGCTTGAAACCATAGCCGTGTCCCTCATGCCATACACTCCAGCAGGGACTGAACACAGTTCCCTGGAGTCAGAATTAATTTTTCTTCTAGTCCTTCCTTTACTTAGTTGTATATAAAAATTATATATTTGAATTTTCTGCTATACTTATTAGAAAATACTTACTTGAAATTATATTTTAATATTTTCCTGGTTTATGTGTATTCCATTTATCTTGCATTATAGTCATGAGAATAATAAGCAGATTAACCACAGGTATCAGTATTATGTCTACCCATGCATGCAGCTTGGAAAACAGTTGCAACTTATAGGATGGAAGACAGAAAGTTCTAGAGCCCAAAGCTTGGAGATGGACACACGGAGCCCCTGTGAGACGCAGCTCTGACCTCTGAGGCCAAGGCATTATTTACCTATTCCTAGTTGTCTTTGATGCTCGAAAGAACTTTGAGCCTCTGAAGAGAGGGTACTGATTTGGTATTGATGTCTCTGAGGAATTGTGATGAGGCTGATGGGAAACAAACAGACAAAAGCCCATCAACTGTAATCTACAAAATATTGTCAGTGCCCGAAGAACCATCACAGCAGGGAAGCAGACGGCAGCAGGTAGTAAAAGCAGGTTCAAGAGTGAAACTAGGGAGGGAAATGTTTCTCTTTCCTTCAGCCTTGTGTTCTACCTCCACCACCCCTCACTGGAAGTGTCTAACAGAGAGCAAACAAAGGTAAAATATGCCAGAAAGTGTTCACCCTCAAGATCACCAGGAAGAATGGTAGAGGTATGTTGTAGCACAGTAAAATTAGCTTAATATTGGGTTCAAAATGGTACAGAAATTTTTTAAAAGGCGTTTTGAATGTTTAGACTTTGAAAAAAAAAGCATTAAAAACACTTTCCAAACTAGGAATTAGTTTAAAAAATAAAACTTTTTATTGCTTTAGGCAGATTTGGGAACTTTTCATTGTTTCTTATACATTTGCTACTGGAATGTTGACACTGTCATCTTCAACATACTTTTGAAGTGTTCAGTGAAGTACTATCATAGTAATCAATTCTGTGCTTAGGAATTAATGACTGATATCCAAATCCTACCCCCAACTCTATGCTAAGGCTAAAACATAGCTAATTATTCTACTGATTGTGTCTGATCAGATGACTGGAGTAGTTGTTTATCCCACTGAGAGTTTTTAAATAAAAACAAGACATATTGTGCTTTATTTAGTTTGAAATAAGCCAAATTGATCATTAATGTTGTTCTTTCCATCTATATGATAAGTATGATCCTCTACCTTACACAAACAAGATAATGCCTAGGATTTGTGTATGCTTACATGTGAGGCAGGATCTGAGATTGGCATCCCCAGCTGAACAGAGAGTAAAAGTACAGAAATCCTTTTCTTCATTACCTAATTCTATAAAACAGGGTATGCCTTCAAAGAAATGCGTATTGCATCACTAGAATCTCTCCATTTATGCAGATGCTGTATTCAGCTATACTGAGCTTTCTGCATGTCATCATAGGAGTTGTGATAGACTAAAAGTGACCCAAAAGTTTTGTTCCTCCATTGGAGGTAGAGCCTAATTCCCCATACCTGGAATAACATCATCTTTCTAAGTTGCTTTGACCAGAAAGGGTACAGAAACAATCAATCCTATCTATTCTCCCTACACGATCTTAGGGGCCTTTCTCCTCCCCTCCCTCTACTCAGCCCAGCCATGCCCCCAATGCAGACTTAGTACTGTGTTCATAACCCTACTGTATTTCTTGCTTCCTTAAGCACTTTCAGACACTTCTCACCACTGCAGAAGCCAGAGAAGAGCTAACCCTTCCTCACAGACTACAAGCATCTCACCTCTAATACACACAAGAAACAACGGCAGGAGGGTATTTCAAGTGATTCTATTTTTTAAAAATGTTTATTTTAATGCATATGAGAAAGAGAAAAAAATATAGCCAGCACATGACACTGATATTGCTGTTTAGGTTGTTAATTTCCTCTTAAAATAAGCTATTTCATAGAGAGAGGGTTTACATCTTAAACAAATCAATCACATAAGAAATAGTAGACGCTGTGTTTAAATACAGAAAACCTTAGGGAAACTCTTCCTTAAGGCAAATTGGCTTAAATCCCACTTGGTTCAAATCCACAATCCAATTTACTTTCTCTCTTTTTACCAAAAAGACTCTTCTGACTTAAGAGCTTCCGTGTTTCCATCCTCTGAGGATCTCCTAACATGTCTTGGGATGGCTGCAGTTGCCTCGTGTTTCCTTTTGTCTTCTTAATGCTCAACATGAGCCTAATGATGTCACTATGGGCATTCTGGTTAAATTTTTTACAGTGTTCTCACTTCATTATGCTTTGCCTCTCTATCGTGTGTATCTTTCCCACTTCTCCCCCAAATTCCTACATTCTGAATTCCTCCTTTGCCTTATCTGTCTTTCCCATCCCTCCCCACACTTCCCAGTCTCTCCACACTACCCTTTTTGGCAGCACTACCTGTGGTGCTGACTAACTATACAGCAGTGTTTTTACTTGGACTTGTTAGTTGGAATATGTTATTGTTGATGATGATCTATTCTGACTGGGGTGAGATGAAACCTCAAGGCAGTTTTAATTTTCATTTCCCTGATTTCTCAGGATGTTGATCATCTTTTCATATATTTATTGGCTGTTTATACATCTTTTGAGAAATGTCCACTCAACATTAGTTGGCTCATTCGTTGATTTCATTGTATTTTACTTTGGCATTTCATTTTTTAGTTCTGTACAGATTCTAAATATGAATCAGTGACAAATGAATAGCCGCCAAACATTTCCTTCCATTATGTAGACCATTTCTTTCTTCAATCAATTGTTTCCATTGCTGTGTATGAGATTTGTAATTTCACGTAATCCCATTTGTCAATTGCTACTACTTTTAGAGTCCTATTCGGAAAGTATTTGCCTACACCCATGTCTTGAAATATTTCCCTGAGTGGTTTGATGTAGTTCTTTTGCCCACTTTGTTTTGACCTTTAGACCTGGTAAGAATAGGTGGGGACCAGATTTGTAGCCTTTGTCTTAAGAATATCTAGTTATTAAAGAGACCATCTTTGCTTCATTTCTACATCCTCTACTCCAGGATCTTTGTTGTCCATCCCTAGTGCTGCTAATGATTTCACCAACCTGCCTTTACTTTCTCATGACTATTTTTAGTTTTTAATTATTATCTGTTTTTCACCTATCTCCTTTCCCCTTATAACTTTGCTATCACTCATTGGCACTATTGTTCACTTGGTTGTGTTTCTTTATTCCAGTACTTTTATGCCTTGTCTTGAAGTAAAGAAGAAAAGAAGGAGTAAATAGATTCATGGATGTATCTGTTGGTGAAAAGAGGAGGAAGAGTCACATTGCAGTCCTCAAGTACTTTCTGTATTTGAGTCGTGGCTAGAGTGTATATATGGCCTCCTCCTTCAAGAACATCCACACCCAGCATTGAAAACTCTAGCACAGAGTTGACTGGATGTAAATTTGCCTTTAGTTTGTGAAAGACACTCTGTATTTAGCACAACTTATTAATCACTCACAGTTTCTCACAGGGGTGAGGTGCTTGAAGTTTCCCTTCTTTCCTTTCTTTTTTCCCCCTGAAAATCAAAACTCCTTTCCCCTGTTTTGATGGATACACAATTAAATTTAAGTTTCCAATAATCTGAGTTTCAAGACTACTTGAATTCTCATTTTATTATTTTCTTTTCTTAATTACAGGAAAACATGTCATATTTAGTAGTCTCTGAACTAGAACTCCCTTAGATTTTGGTTGAGCTATTTGAGCTTGGACATGGGAAGCAACAGAATACTGTGATTTTCACATTACTAGAAATGCATGGCTTCAGAAATGTACAAAGGTGCCAAGGAAACAAGAACAGGAAAGGGGACAAACTCAAGTCTTTGTATTTGGGGAGAGACAATTACACATAAGGATTAAAACGACGGAATGAAGAGGGTTCAGGGTAGTTTAATCTAAACTTATACTAGAAAAATAAGATTTTTCTCTCTGGAATACCAGTAGTTTTCAGTCACATCAGACTCTATTGTTATGGAAACTCTTTTTCTAAAATCATTTGGGAATTCAATTACAATTTATTATTCAGACAAAATGGCTTCACTCTTTTGAAGTGGCCCAAAATAATATAAGCTTTCCTTCAAGAGTGCATAATGAGGTTGAGAAGTTATGCTTAGGGTTTGGGGATATAGCTCAGTAGTAGGTCCCTTGCCTAGCACGCACAAGGCCCTGCCATCAGTCCTCAGCTCCTGGAGGCAAGAGAAGGGATGCTCAGAAGATGAGAACAAACTTCTGTTCCACCTACAGATTGTGAATTTTGCAACGTAGTGGTCATGTTTGATTGAATCCACTGAGGGTCTCACTTGGCACAATGAAGGAAATGCAAATACATTCTCTTCTTAGCAGAGATGTGGCAAAACTTATGTTAATTGGTTTGATGTAATAACCTTAGTATATTTGAGTCTGATAATACACTAAAAGCTTAATATAAATTTAAAATAACACTATCCAATTAAGCTGTATTTTGACATGGCAATTTTATAATTATAACAAGAAATAGTTTACAATGATTTGTAAGGTGATTAGAATTAGTTTATTATTCATTTTTTCTAGTCCTTTGGCAACATTTGTGAGGAACTAACTTGAGTCTATCCCTCCTCTAAAAGAGAAGAAAGTCATGAGAATGACATATGTTTGGTCGCAGCATTTGGGAGGCAGGGCTATCCCAGGAGTATCATGCAAACCAAAGAAAAATGAAAAGGAGAGAGAAGGGAGACTATAGCGGGAGAAAAGTGGTGTGAGAGGAGGGAAAAAGGGAGAGGGGAGTGAATGGGAATTGACTGAAAGCATGTCCTAAGTTAAATTTCTCCTGAGCAATCTCAGCAGTGTTATAAAAGTGGGACTCAAATAAATGTATTAAAAAATGGTTTTCTTGACCACTGATGGCAGTGGGAAAGCACAAGTCACCTAATACATAGCAGATATTAAAGAGTCAAAAATTGATGCAGCAATGACATTTTCTTTTTTAAAAAAATCAAGCTCCAATGATACCAAATTACTTGTATTGGTAATTGGTTAATCAAGGGTATAAATATGTAATCACACGCATACATTTATACGGAACACACGTTAATCTTTTTTAAATTGCCTTAGCCCTCCTAGCTAAACTGCATTTCACAGACAAACAAGTTAAAGGTGTTTAGGATTCACACTAGGGCAATGACAGAATTTAAATGATTTCAAATAAGAGATCAGAGTCACATAGCTAAGTAAATGAGTTGGGGATGTTTTGCCTCACTGTGATTTACTCTTCTGGACTTGTGGTCTGAAAGGTTGTGGTTAGCATTGACAACTGGTACACACTGGCAGAAACAGTGCCTGTGCTTGGTTTGTTCTTATCAGCTGCTAGCAAGGGTCTCTCAGACATATTTTGTGCTAATGTCTTTTCTCTTTGTGCCCATTAACATGAGGAGACCAAGAAAAGGAAAGTGAATCTGAAAATAGTTGATAGGGCATCTTCCCAGGACTGACCGAATTGGTTGGGAACACTGTATTGGGAGTCACACCGAATGTGGCTCAGATCCTGGCTCAGCCTTGGATGACCTGAAGACTTCATCATTTGAGAAGGAAGTACAAATCGCTTGCTTTCCTCACAGTGTGTCAGGGATGTGAGTCAAACTTGTAAAAGGAAGAAGGCTTTGTGCATTTTGTCAACACTGAAGTTGTCACCTGGGTGTCCATTGTGTCAGATCCAAGTGATTCTTTTCATTTTTGTTTATTTGCTTGTTTGTTTTTCCTTTACAGACAGTTCTTTAATTGGGAAGAGGCAGATGCTCTGCGCAGTTTAAGGAAATTAAAGCCAGGGAATAAGAACTGGCGATTTTTTTTGGCACTAATTGTCAATCCTGATAATACTACTTTGGGGGAAATGTTATTGCCCATTTTACAGATGAGTGACAAGAGCCTCTGAGAAAGACTGTGTTTCCAAGTTCACATAGCCCCAAAGCTATTTGAGTGGTGGTGTAGGAAACAGTATCCAAAACTTCTGGCTCAGAAGCCCATGCTTTTTTTCCACTCCATTTATGTCCATTCAGATATGTGACATTTAAAAAGAAGTAAGCTTTGTGTCTGTGTGGCCTTAAGGCAGACTGACATCACTGGCAAGTAGCTCTGAGGGACTTGGCCCAAGCTTCTTCCATGAAAGACATTTCTTCCTTAGCCACATCTAAACAAAATGGATAAAATAAGGCCATCCTCACGTGAATTCAATTATAGGAATGCTATTTGTCACACCGTCCCTGAGTTCTACTTGTGTGGAAGGTGACTCTCCATTCACTTCATTAGGACGTCTTCATGTTCTAAACTGGTGCTGTGTTTTCTCTTCTTTTATATGTGCGTCTATGTCCTCGCTAGCCTCACAGAAGGTCTGCTAGCTTAGGCTCTCATGGTCTGCCTTTGTGTGAGTAACACAGAGCAGTCCCAGAAGACAGTGCTGGGGTACCACAGACATAGACTCTGTGCCACCAAGGGCTCTAGAGCAAAGAAGGCTCTTAGGAAATGTGATTCACATTCAAACACACTTGACTGTTTCTATCGTGTAATTGATACAGTATAATACATCAATTAATAAAAATGTCCACAGGAAATGGGTTGAATGGGAGAGTATATTCTTTGAAGTGAAACAAATAGCAGTTTTTTTTTTAGTGTGAGAGACCCATTGCTTGAAATCAAAAGAATACCTCTTTTATAAGTCACCAGCATACTTCCTAAGTGTAGAAAATGGTACTCGCTTTCTTGCTTTTTATATTTAGGTTTTGTGCATTGCCAAGAGGATGAAGCCCAAGCTTCTAACATGGTGTTTCCAGTGTGCCCAGCCTACATAACAATTTCTTCTTCAGTGAATTCCATTGACAAAATCCATTGCAACAAAATGAGTTTATCCACTGCCTCTCAAATATGCCTTACTACTTCCTCTCTCTGAAACTTTCCTGCATGCCACTGCTATGATTTCTGTACTCCCACCCTCTTCCCTACCGATTCAAACCATTTCCAGCAGGAAAAAGTCACGTCCTGTCTTTTAATCTTCCTTTGGACTTGTCATTCACTGTTGGAGGCTGTGACCAGTGGTTAAATCCAGCTAGCCTGTCTGCTATGCAGTGTGCTCTCTGTAGACAGGGGCGACATTTATCTTTTGTGTCTCTGTAGACAGGGGCAACATTTATCTTTTGTATCCTATGTTCTAGACTCTGTAAGGTAATAGGCACCTAATACATATTCACTAAATGTCTAAATGAATGACATAATATATGTCTAATATCATCTTACAGATTTCTGGGGAAAATATTGTTTAGATTTCTTTGCATCAAACACTTTGCACAATGTTCTGAACTTAGTACTTTAAAAATTAATTAAAAATTCAGTATGGGATATTGAATTACCCCTGGAATCAGTGAAGATTGTATTTGAGGTTTTAAATAAAAATTTTAATATTTCTTTTTAATCCAATTATTCTATAAGATCAGAGCATTCTGATTTAAATGAAATATAACTGAATATACCATAATGTTTAAAAACATTGTAATCAAATGAAGACTCAATGGAATACACTATTTTACATATATTTAATATTAGGTACTTTTCCATAGTAGTAAATTTTTTCCAGAGTAACAAGTGTCTCTTAACTTGCCAAAATCTATGTTGTTTCTTGTTCTAATCCTTGCACCTATGTCCACAGAGCCATCTTTTTTATTTCTATTTAAAATTTGGGGGTGAGACATTTGTATATGTTTCTGGAAAACAACCCTGCCTCTAACGTGCTAGGTAAGTGCTCTACCACGGAGCTATTCTTACACACACACACACTCAAATGTTACTTTCTCTAACAATCTTTCCAAGCTTTCCCTAGATTTTCACAGCATCTAATTATTTCTTAGGGCCACATGCAAATTACATATGTCTTCACTAGAATGCAGGTTCCTCAAGGAAAGGGACTCATTTATTCTTTCACGCCCAGCTCAGTATGTAGCATATCATAAGTTCTGGGTCTGTTAAGTTGACCAAACATCTTCGGGAAGATGAATGGTGGCTGGGTCTTGTTTCATATTTGCATTTGTTACATGTGTCAGAGTGATCAAATCTTCATTAAGTCTGACAGAACTTTAGAGAACAGAGTTACAGTCCCTGCTAAGCATGAAGAGACAGTATATGATGGGGAGAGAAGGAAAGTGAATGCACAAACCAGCATACCCTCTGCCAACAAGGCCAAGAGTAAGAGGCTATATTATCCAAGCTTCACAGCTTGGTAGATGGTTTAAATCTGTTTCCTTGTCCCACTGCCCCCCAAAGAAGGTCAACTGTTGCATTACAAAGAAATATGTTTGCACACTGAAGAATATACTTACATTTGGTGGATGGGTAGCAAATATATAATTATAATGGATATGAAGGTCTTTTATTCTGTTTTTGTGACTGAGGCTGTTTCTTTTGATACTGCTTTTTTTCACTTTAGAGTGATCCTTACATCATCTAATATAATAGAGGATCCCAAAGAGCTTTAATTTCATGAGCTATTTTTGTCAATATTCTATTTTATGAATCAAGACATAAATTTTAAAATATTCACTTCAAAATAACAAAATAAACTTAA